GGCAGCATGTTCTGGGCTGATTGGGCTTTTATTATTATTATTATTATTGTATAATAAATAATACATGTATAAATACGGACAATAATAAATGTATATCATAGTAATAATAAATATATGCATGCATATTCGCTAATGAGTATATATGCGTGTATGTGACCTATTTTGGCAATTCTACCCACCCTTGAATGCAGGGTTTGGAGATTTGGCAATTCGTCCCGTTTTGGTATTTTGCCAAAACTTTGGCGAATCGTCCCATAACGTTTTTTTTCAAAAAATTAATTATTTCCGAGGTTTTTGCAGGGTTTTGAGACGTGTCCACTGGACCGTCACGAGTACATAACGGACTTCGAGTGCACGGGTACAGACAAGAAACTGGTACACGAGTCGATGCTCTCCTTCTACTCGGGACATTCCGCCTTCAGTTTCTATGCTGCCTGGTACACTGCGGTTGGTTTTTGTATTGTTTTATGTAATATATATAATATATTTATTATTTAGTTTTGTATTGTTTTATGTAATATATATATATAATATATTTATTATTTAGTTTTGTATTGTTTTATGTAAAATATATAATATATTTATTATTTAAAATTTTAAGTTTTATTTAAAATTTAAAATATATAGTAATGTTAGCGTATATAGTAATAATATGATAAGTATATTTATTATATAATATAATAATATATTTGATATATAATATATATGTTAAGTATATTAATATTTAATATATAATATATAATAATGTTATTATATAATATGTAAGCATATAACATATATAATAACATATGATACATATAATAATATGATATAATAATAATAATAATAGTGATTCAGCATATCAATAATAAATATTACTTAAATATGTATGTATAATAATGATATTTAAGATTACGGTTGTGTTTGATGTTTTGGACTGATTTAGATAATAGTGATAATAATAATATTAATAATAATTAATAATAATAATAATGATAATAATAATAATAATGATAATAATAATAATAATTGCAGTTGTACCTGCAAGCGCGTCTGTACCGTCCACTGTTCAGTCGTCTCCTACTGCCCGTGATTCAG